CTCAAATTGCACTGAAGCCTTTTCCTGCTCTGTCTACCACGCGCCTATTCTGAGCAAAATTCAGCACAGCTATTCTGAGCAGTCCAATCCCAACCGGCTGTGCGACCGAACCCTTCAGGTCATCACCACTCTTCAAGTCTTCTATTCCTTTTCTTCTTTTGCCATTGCTCTGTCTCTTTCCCTAATTGCCTATCCTGAGCAAGCCCGCTTCCAGCCGCCTGTGCTACCAAACCCATCAGTCAACAACCCTCTTCAACAACCCAATTCCATGATTTGGGCGATGGGTTTTGTGACTGCCTTCTTTAAGCCAGCAGGTCAACTGCTACTCCTGCAGGCGCTCGATATGCTGGTCATTCACGTGGTCTTTGTACTTGAGAGCAGGAGAATTGGGCGCAGGTGAACTGCTTTGCTTACACTGCCCGTTTTTCCCTCTTTCTCTAATATCCAATTAACCCGTTTCTGTATCAATTTCGTTTCATGTTGCCGAATTGTTGGAGCCTCACGTGATAATTGTACTTCAAAGGAGTGAAATGGGGAACTTTTTGTTAGGTATGCCATTCTATTCTGATCAGCTTTGGTATTCAATTTTCCGCCCAAATTATGCTTTCTATTCAACCTTCATCATCCGTATGATTACGATTAGAAATATCTGCTTGGATGTGATTTTTCTCTTATTCCAGTTATGATAAGAAATAAGAAATAGGTTTCCTATTCACTTAGCCTGTACCTTTTCCAGTGGCTGACGAAATCAAAAAAAATGGGATGGACGTATTTATCAGTGCATCGTGCTGGCTTCGCTGCCTTGTGGACTGCAAGAAGAAGCCTCCGAGCCTTTACGCCTTGTTCTTTGGAGTCTCTCTGGTGAGAAAAAAACTCCCCCTTTTTTTTGCCAAATTTTCCTCTTATGAATAGCTCGCACAGTAATAAATTCTAATATACACATATGTTTCGATTCATAGGTTCCTTTTGCTGCGGTTCCTTCGAGGAATCTTTTAGCTTGGAGGTCAGTTTGTTGTTTTCCTTCAATCTATCACCATCTTTTCTTTATTTAAGTGCCTGTATTTTCATAAGTGGAATTTCACCTTTCCCTTTTCTTTTTAGTAGTTTTCCTTCAGTTTCTGCTTCATTTATTTTAAGTTTATTGGTGCTATTTGTTTTGTGTCATCCTTTATGAAACAAACGATTGCTTATTTGAGCAGGTGATTTTGTTAATTTGAAATATTTGATTAAAAATCTTTCTTATAGACATGGGCTTACAAAAATATTGCTGGGTAACAGTTTAAATGGTGAATATTGGGTTGTAAAGGATGAATTATAGGTTGTGTGGAATAGTTGATTGTATGCTATCTTTATCATATTCTGCCCTTAAACTGTGCCGTAGTTAATTCAATCTGGCCAGCTTTAAAGATTGAAGTTCCAATTAATTCAAGCTGGCCAGCTTTAAAGGTTGAAGTACCAAGTTCACTATTTCCCTTGTGAAGAGCATATGCATGCTATAAATCAACACAAAGGACATCAGGTTGAACCCCTTGTTTGGGTAAGCCTGTGTACAAGAGAAATTGATGGGTGACGTAAATCTCATATTGTTGCCTAAGAACAGTTATTTGAGCATAATATTGTGTCCAAAGTTATTTAATGTGGTCTAGAAATCATAACTTTTCTATCCAAAGCACTATTGTACTTGTCATTACCATAGCCTTCTGTAACAAGTTCAATATTAACAATATTTGAAATTTAATAACATTCACAAGAAGTACATATGGATGGACAAACTTGGAAGAGTAACTGAGCTTCAAGGGTCAATTACTCTGCTTAGATTTTTGTACGAACTAAAGAATAGAAAAGACACATTTTAATTATTTCCAATACACTCGATGGAACCTTGCAAGCTTTCAAATTTTTCCTGATGAATTCCGATTCTATAAATACAATGAGAAAATTCTGAATTTATTGCAAATGTTCATTATCATGGTAATCATCCAATTTTATTCTTTTTTGTAGTATATAATTATATATATTTTAATTAGCTTTGCCAAAAAATTGGGAATCAATAAAACTTGCTTGGTGCTTTGCGGATAGTTGATATAATCTACTGTGGTCTTTTTCTAAAACTATTTTTAAATTTTTATGGCTCTTAACTATTTTAAAATTTTTTTCCATAAAACTGTTTTTGTGCAAATACAATAAAAAAGTATTGCTACTCAATTATCAAGTTGAAAATATGCGTATCCACGTTCCATGTAAACTGTCAAACATAAAATGGCCTTGTGTCTTTCTTGCTTATGTTGTTTGGTACAATGTTGTCGGCTTCTTATTAGACTCTTGAATTTTTAGCTTTTCTGGATATCATTTTTGAATCTTGACTTCATTTTCACTACTAATATTCGATAGGGTTAACTGCTCCATCATACACTAACATTTTCTGATGATTTTATTAGGTTTTTCAACTTTAAAATTCTCCATTTGACTCCTATATATTTCAACACAAATAAATGCAGTGTTTCAAACTTTCTGTGGGAAATCAATAGCTTCTCTTCCTGGAATCATTTTCACAGTTTGACCCAAAGCTTCAACGCAAACACTAATCTGCCATTAAAATTTTAGCTAAGATTTCAGCTTGACTCTAATGTATAATCTTAAGGTAGTTAGAGTAAGCAAAAGCTCTTGAAAATGTCAAGTCATATTAGACAACAGGCATTCATTATGTCTATGACAGCTTGATTATCTCAAGCTTAGATTTTTTTTGGCATATAATGAGTGTCCTATTGGTTTGCATATAATGAATAGACTAAATAACAAATTATTGCTCAGAATTAAAAGCTGTTCACACATTTGCTGATGTTATTCTAGGTAACTGAGCTGTCCTATTGGTTTGCATATAATGAGTATTCTATCAAATAGTCAAATTGCTATATACACACTAGAAAAAAGATTGTAGTGATGGACATCAATAACAGATTTTATGCACCAAAGTCATTTCCAACCTCCTGGTACTGATGCTCTGGTCTTTAATCACAATGAAGCTATACAGACTCTAAGTTAGTTTTTCTTACAATACACATGTCTGCTATATGTGACCTGTTGTTGTTCTAAATGAGGAATGGGAGTGCTTATCTATTTTTAAGATAACATTAAGCTGGCCAACCTTTTTTAGTGATCTAAATGCCTATTGGTTAAGCAGCTTAAGACTTTGTACTTCTTGTTTCTAATTGCTTACTTAGTGTGTTCCTTGTTTGCTGTTTCGTTTAGGCTAGACTTGTCTGGGGCAATGAAAAGCTCAGTGGTTATTTTTAAAGGATATTGTATGTAGGCCATTCTTCGTCTGTTATTCATTGTAGTCTTTTTACTCAAAGCTCATTCACTCATTTATATGCCTATCAGTTCAACATCTTAGGTTATTGTGCCTGTTTTATCCCAAGTATATACACTCTATTTTTTTGCTTGAAATTGCAGAAGTATGTGTAAATATATATGTTAATCTTATCTAGATGTATCATTGGGTCCCCTAATAGCATTAATTTGACTACCATTCGAGCTGAATCGGGAAGAAAACAAATTGCAGTAGGATGTAGTTCTTGCATTGAGGAGTTGGCTGCTTTTAATCATTCGTGTATTTGACAAAGGTGAAAGTGCCACTTATGGGAGTCGGTCTTGCCTTTGTGGACTAAATGGATTTCTTAAGGTCATAAAGCTGCAATACACATTTCTGATTTTGATCTCCTTTGGTGTAATGAACATACTTTAATGTACTTTTCAAACTTGTTTCTGTGCCTTGGAGAGTAAAGTACATTTTCTTATCTTTATAACTGGACTTCATTAATTGATACCTTCTCTAACTTTGAAGCTGCTCTCTATTTGTTTTCTGTTCTTATTTTCCATATTTCTTTAGTAACTTATCTTTTTTCCCCTCTCCAGAATTACCACTTAATATGGGGGCATGGACAATTATCATTTTATCAGCAATTTAAATAAATTACAGTAATGGATGCTAATCCCAGTTCCCAGACATCATCAACTTATAACCCATACTTGGAACATCTTAATGTATCTAAACTGATTGTACAAGTAATTTTGGAATGAAAACTTCAATTTCTTTGTGAATCATGGAAGGGTGATATGTAAACTTGAAAACTTTTGTTACCGTTAACTGATTACAACTTTATAGCTCAACAGCTCATATAGCAAACTAATGCAAGCATTATCATTTACTGTTTTTCTTTGCCCCCTTTTGTCTATGTTCTTTCCCTGATATTTCTTTTTTCCTGTGTTTTGTTGCCTGGATAATCTACACCTCATCCTAGGTGCAAAGCTTTTTGCATTTCCCTATCTGATTTATCGTTGCTGTTACCAGGTATGCCTAATGCTTCAGCCTGACTTTCACACAAAAAAACCTGTTGTTAGCTGTATTGTCTCCTTAGTTCATGTTTTTTTATGCTTTTGCTATTAGACTTTGGTGGCTCTATATGCTCAACTCCTTTAACCTCTGCTTAGTCGTATGTCCAGTTGGTTTTACATTTATTCTGTAGTTGCTTTCTGTTTATTTGATTGTTTAATATTGTTTGCGTAAGAGTATACAAACAACCGTATAATATAGAGCAATTATATGATTGACTAAATTGTGATTGAGATATCTGATAGTCAGTCATTACATTAGAGAAGTTCCATTAGCTATTTTATCATATCTGCCTTCATGGACTAGCATCCTTCTTTTCTTATATTTTGTCACAAACGAGGCTTCTGAAATGCTACTGGTTTTCCTCCATTTGAGGTGACTCAAAAATATGGATAAAATTAGTTATAGAAAACAAGCTATTCAAAGATGGAGGCAAAAACGGTTAGATAGGCTGTCGCGACTTCGTGGCTCGGGACCCTCAACTGTAATTAATGTTCCTCACTTGCTTCCTATAAGGGCAAATAACAGCCAACTATCTATGAGTAGATCACTTCCATTTCTACAAAATCAATTTCTTGCTATAAGAAATAATGGAAGCCAAAAAAATATGGGATATAGAAGCAAAAAATCCCAGAGAGATGGCTTGCTTCACTCCATATCTCTAGAATCACATCAGCCATTTCTTCTTAGACGCCCGAACGTCCATTCTATCCTGCCTGCCAATTCAAATGACACAGAAACATCCATGAATATGTCATTTAGATTTGCAGCACTTGAGCCTTCCAGTATAGCCTATAACAAAGAGGATCATCTTACATTAGAACCTGATATATCTCAGATGCATTGTATGCATGAAACAGAGCAAATAGAAGCTGAAAATGCTAGCTGCTCTAGGTTTGTGACTTACCCTATTGAGTCTGGTATGCCTCATCCTGTGAACCCAGCTACTTTGCTGTTTGCAAGTTCAAATATGGTGCATTCAATTGTCAATGCGCCATCTGAACTCTTGGCAACAAAAAATCCTGTTGCAGCAAATAATAGAAGGCAAAGATCTGAGATACTAAAACATAAAAGGTGCCAAGAAAAAAAGACATCTAAAAGTTCACCTGCCAAACCTCAACTTCCTCTTCCTTCAGTTGTTGTCATCCCTGCAGTGGATACTGTGCAATCAGAATCAATTCAATATGAATCTACAGGTGCTTGCCTTAATCCCCTCCATTAATATGCTATTAAAGTCAAACCAGCTCATATCATTATTTTCACTAATTTCGGCATATTTTCCAAGTTAACCATTTTAAACTTTTGAAAAAGTATATGCCTTCTCTTCACTGTCAACCAAAATAGGTCCGTAACATTAAAAATATTATGTGATTTTATTTTAAACTCGTTTTGCCTTTTAAAGCCTTTTTTTATAAATTCCAGCTTCCTATGCCTTCAATCTTAGAATTAAATTAATTACTCTAACTTATCATTCTATAAACTATAAAATTAATTTTATACATTTTTCGTTAATTTTTCACATTTAGAACAATTCACCTGGCTACTGGAATGATCATCCTTTTACAAACAGTGTTTTCCAGCCCTTTAGTGTACCATGAAAAAATTTTAACCTTAGATAAGCCTTTCGCATAAACATAGACTTTTAACCTACTACACCCCTTAGCGCTTTTGTTTAACTTATACCATATTCTATCCAGTTTCGGTAGCAAACACTGAAGGAATAGATAGAGGCATACTCCAATCAAACCAAGTAAAGCCTAAGAGAAGGCGTGCAGGTTTTGTAAACTTTTTAATGTCTTACTAGCTTTAGTTTTTTAATTTCTGCTTCCCTGCATTGCACAAAATGAATAACTAGATATCTTTTCCTTGTCGATTATAGCAAGAACGCCAAAAATAGGTCGGGAGGTCTTAAATCACATTCCTACTGCTGCTGATCTGCTTCCTCGCCAACGCAACTGTCCCCATTGTAGTGCAAAAAAATTTGCTCATGAAACAGCAAATTTTTGTTGTTCTAATGGGGATGTTATTTTAGCTAGCAATTCAATCCCAACTGTTCTAAAAGAACTCCTTACGTCATCATCTGAGGAAGCTCAACTGTTTAGGACCTGTATTAGAACAATTAATAACACATTTGCTTTCACTTCCTTTGGAGTAAAATGTGATAAAAATTTGGCTAAGAGAAATAAAGGCATTTATACTTTTAAAGTGCAAGGTCAGGTCTATCATTTCATCAATGATTTAGAGACCTCAAAAAATTTACAGTTCTATTTTCATGACAGTGAAAATGAATTAGCAAATCGCTTAGATGCCTACCCAAGATTAACTGAGAGTATTCTCCAAAAAACCATGAATCTCATGCAGCAAAATCCCTATGCTAGATTCTTTCGCGGCTTGAGAGAGGTTCATAACCTTGATACTTATCGCATTGTTTTACGAACACACCCTGGTTTAGACCAAAGAGTATTCAATAAGCCTACAGTGTCCCAAGTTGCTGCTTTATGGGTAGAGGGAGAAGAAAATGGAGAAACAAGCCGTCGAGATATTCGAGTGTACACCCATGGTGGCCATTCACACAATATCCAATATTACTATGGCTGTTATGACCCTCTCCAGTACCCTCTTTTGCTTCCTTTTGGTGAATCTGGTTGGCATCAAGGAATTAAGAAACAAGGCAAAAATGTGCACAAAAAAAAAACTAGGAAAAGGGATGCTCAAATTTCTATTTCTCCAATGAATGCTTCTACTGCTGAAGAGTTAATACAAATGGAACAAGACTGTAAGTAGAATAAATCTTTTTCACCTGTATTCTATTAATTTTAGCATGCCAGCCTCATCAACCTTTTTTCTAAATTCTTTCAACCAGTAATGGCAGGAATAGACGGCGATCCTGATTTCGTTTCCATCCGTGAATACTATGCCTATAAATTACAAATGAGAAATGATGATGAATCTTTTTTATTGCACTTTGGTAGGCTATTTCAGCAATACGTTGTTGATATGTATGTTAAACTTGAATCACAAAGATTAGATTATTTGAGAACCCAGCAAGAAGAATTTAGAAAAGAGTTCTTACAAATACATAGATGCAATGACTTTGGTCCAAAAATTTGGCAAGCCGGATATATTCTTGACCATGACTTGCAATCCCAATTGGCCGGAAATAAAAGAACATTTACTGCCGACAGAGGAAGCCCAAAATCGACCAGATTTGGTTGTAAGGGTCTTTCGTGCAAAACTAGAAGAATTAAAGAATGAACTTTTGAAGAAAAATATTTTTGGAGAAGTGGCAGCCTATACATATGTGATAGAATTTCAAAAAAGAGGCCTGCCACATGTTCATTTTCTTTTAATCTTAAAGCCTCAGCACAAAATGTTTATCCCTGATGAATATGATAAAATTGTCAGTGCAGAAATTCCAGATAAAACAAAATATCCGCACCTGTATAGAATGGTTAAAAAACACATGATGCACGGCCCTTGTGGTGTGTTGAACCCATCAAAGGTTTGCATGACTAAGCATGGCTGCTGCAAAAATTCTTATCCAAAAGAGTTTTCTGAGCAGACAATTCAGACGCTAGATTCCTATCCAAAATACCGAAGAAGAAACAATGGTGTTAAAATTAAAGTCAGAAAACAAAAACTTGATAATACATGGGTTGTTCCTCATAATGCATATTTACTTGCTAAGTTCAATTGCCACATTAATGTTGAGATCTGCTCAACAATTCAGGCTGTCAAATATATTTACAAGTATATCTGCAAAGGACATGATCGAATCAGTTTCCATATCAATTCTGATAATCCAAACAATCAGATTGATGAAATTCAGCAATATCAGGCAGCTCGGTGGGTTTCCCCACCTGAAGCTGTTTGGAGACTATTTCGATTTTCCATGGGAGAAATTAAACCAGCTATCATTCACCTTCAATTGCATCTTCCAAATTTTCAGCCAATTCACTTCAAGAAGCATGAAAATTTAAATAACATAGTCAAAAATCCAAGAAATAGGAAGACAATGTTGACTGAATTTTTCTATATGAATAGAACAGATTCAGTTGCACAAGAACTAAATTGCACATACGCTCAATTTCCAGACCATTTTGTCTGGTTAGCTGATGAAAAACGCTGGAAAATTAGAGATAGGGGAGATTCTATAGGCCGAATAAATACAGCTCATCCATCTGAGGGAGAAAGATATTACCTTAGACTTCTTTTGTCTAAAGTTCGTGCTCCAAAGTCTTTTGAAGACTTAATGACTCACAATGGAGTGCAAGTTACCACCTTTCGTGAGGCTGCTCTCTTGCGTGGCCTACTTGAGGATGATAATAGCCAGGAATTTTGTCTACAAGAAGCGTCTCTCTTTCATATGCCTTATGAAATGAGACGACTTTTTGCTACGCTATTAGTTTATTCCAGTTCTAATGACCCCAAACAGCTATGGACAAAATTTGAGTCTGTCATGTCCGAAGATTTCATGAGAAATACTGAATTGTCTCCTAGAGAAATCAAACGAAAAGTTTTAGAGCAAATAAATGGTTTTCTACAGTCAATGGGAAAAAATATAGCTTCATTTGGCTTACTTCCTAATAATTTCTCATTCTCAGATGTAGACAACCAAACAAGAGATGTATTGGCTGAAAAAAGCATAAGAGTTCTTGAAGAGGACTTAAATGCGATTTCTTTGCTTAATCAGAACCAAAGGCATGCATTTGAAGCTATATCTAAAAGAGTTTATGAAAATAAGAGTGGTGCATTTTTTGTTGATGGCCCTGGTGGAACTGGAAAATCTTTTCTTTATAGAGCGTTGTTAGCTGATATTAGATCAAAGGGCTATATAGCATTAGCGACAGCCACATCAGGTATTGCTGCATCAATACTGCCTGGAGGTAGAACCGCTCACTCTCGGTTTAAAATACCAATTGATACCTCAGAGGGCAGAGCATGCAAAATTAGTAAACAAAGCAGTTTGGCAAGTATGATTAAGGAATGCAAATTAATTATTTGGGATGAGGCTCCAATGTGCAAGAGATCTGCGATTGAAGCTTTAAATGATTTTCTTAGAGATCTTATGAATTCAGATAAGATCTTTGGTGGGAAAGTAATTGTTCTTGGGGGTGATTTCAGGCAAACCTTACCAGTGGTTCGTAAGGGAAGCCAATCTGAAACCATTGCTGCTTCTTTGATTAATTCCCCTATCTGGCCAGCTCTTGAAAAATTAGAGCTCACACAAAACATGAGGGCTCGATTTGATCCCTCATTCACTGATTACTTATTAAGGGTAGGTGATGGCACTAACCAAGCTGAAGATGACAGTCTCATACACCTGCCTTCTTCTATTTTGGTTAGCAACGGTTCACAGAATGCATCACTACATGATCTGATAGATGTGGTTTATCCTCACATTCATTATAGATCCGAAAATCCTGCCTTGCCATTAAATCGAGCAATCCTCACCACAAAGAATCATTTTGTGGATGAAGTGAATGATATCTTAATTGATAAATTTCCAGGTACAGCAGTAGAATATCTGAGTTTCGATCGAGCTTTGAATCCAAACAACCAAGTTCAATATGAAGATTTTTTAAACTCCTTATCTCCCAGTGGCCTTCCACCCTATAAACTAATCTTGAAACCTGGTGTTCCTGTGATATTGCTTAGAAACCTCGACCCTACTGAGGGTCTTTGCAATGGAACAAGATTAATTTGTAAAAGTTTGAGCAAACATGTCATTCATGCTCAAATAGCTGTAGGAGATTTTGCTGGCAAAGATGTCTTCATCCATAGAATTCCCTTACAACCTCCAACTGATGAACAATATCCTATTCCATATACAAGGACTCAGTTTCCAATTCGCTTATGCTTTGCCATGACAATAAACAAAGCTCAAGGACAAACGCTTGATTATGTTGGTATCTATTTGAAGGAACCAGTGTTTTCCCACGGGCAGCTCTATGTTGCATTATCGCGAGCAAGAACTGCTTCTCAAGTGAAAGTGCTCATTAAACCTCCATTTTTTGACAAGCCTAGAACAGACCAGGCAAAAAATATTGTATTTAGAGAAGTTCTTGAAACTTCTCGCATAGCTGCCAAGTAATTATGTTGTTTTAGGATTCAGTTCCAGTTTTCTTGAATGTTCCAGAATTTCTTCTCTTTTAACTTACAAACTGATTATGTGTCTTTCTTATTTATATTATAGATAACAATGGCAAGGAGATGTCTATCAGTGCATGAAGTCCACGACAAGATGAGAAGGTGGACAGTGCTTGTGCAAGTTGTGGAGAAATCGCATGTGTTAACCAGTAACGGATCACCGCCTATCAGATTTCAGCGTCTCGTGTTAACAGATTCTGAGGTAATATAAGCTGAAACTAATTTTAGCAATTTAACATTTCCTAAATCATCAACATGTCCAGATTATTAATTATCCTCTGTGCAATTTAATTTCAGGCCGATTACTTTTTAATATTGCTTTCTTTTTATGTTTCTTGGGTAATATTGTTCCGTTGGAACTTAAAATACCAATGCTTGCAAAGTGACTATAGTGAAATTCTGATTTAACTTACATGATTCTACCCTATAATATTACAAGGTTTATAATTAACCAATGATATATGTCTAATCAGTATAACTTTCTGTATGGGAGATCATATATAGTGATTTGAAAATGTTACAGCTTGGATGCATTTGAGTGCCTCAATGTGCATTCAATGACTAAAACAAAGTACAGAAGACTTACGGAAATGATTTATAGCAAAAAAGGAAAACACAGCTCTAATACCCCAAAACCATCTCATTTCCATTCTGGCTACTTTTTTTTTTTGATAGAATTGAATGTGTAGCCGTGCAGCCTATACCAAGTCAGCATACCAGCCATCTTATCCCTGTTTTTCCGTGTTTTGCTTCTTTGGCTGGATGTTTTTGAAGACTTTGATCTTTGATAGGAGTACTTCCATCTCATCTTCCCTTTTTAATCGCACCTAATCTGTCCTGATTTCCAGGAAAATTTTATCCCTTACCTTTTATCTATATTTGCACGTCTCTTTCTGTAATCACACTCTCGCTCTAACCTTCGCTCATTCTGGTTTTGCCTTTTTTTTCCCTCTTGATTCGGTATGTACAATTTCATATGGAAGTACAATTTTTTGTTATTTCCTTTTTGCTTTGAACATTTGTTTTTTCTTCTTTTTGGTTGGACTATAGTGTTGATTTTTTTGTTGGATTTTCACGGCAGATGAAGATCAGCAATAGGTGAATTTATTTTATTCTCATTTATCACTTTTCTCTAATCAAATAGATGGTGATGATAGGAAAGGATTTGGTTCAACAATCATTGCATCTCTTTTTTTCAGTTTCTCTAATTCCATAGGTAGAGGAATTTTAGTCCAATCTACTCATTTCATTTTTCAGTTTCCCTAATTTCATAGGTCGAGGAACTTTGGTCCAATCTACTGGCTTTTGCAACGTGTTCACTACTACTGTGAACACGTTTTTAAAAATCCAACAAAGGATGTAAAACAAAAGGGAAAAAAAAGGTAGGTATTGCGACTACAAAATGCTGATTCTGATCTAAATCAGTTAGGTGCATCATCTCATTTCTGTCATAAAACATTAAGAAGGAAAGAGATATTCACCCAATCCCTTCAAACTCTCCATCTTCTCCTATACAGACAAGAATCAAACTTAAATTACGAAGCCAATTTGGTCAAAGTATCACTGCTGCCAAAATACTTAAATGTTCTAAATGCAGTAATTTAATCTATCTCTCGAGTTTTGCAGGTCATTAGACTATTTATATTGTGGTTAGGTTTCATTAGGAAGGACAAACTCCCGTACCAAAGCACAGCAGACAGTATTTGCCAATATTGAAAATATATAGGAGGGAAAGCAACTCACAAATAAGGAAAAGTTCAAAGAGTACCCTGATTACTTCGTTAGTTCAACTTATAGATATAGGCAACAGCACCTGCAATGCATTTGGGCCACAAAAAAAAGGGAAAAAATGAATGGGAGCATTAGAGCATAGATTATAGACATAGGCTCTGTATATCCAAGTTTTTGCATGTTAGTTTTGTTGCCCTTTTTTGCTTGTCAATTGCTAATACATATGGTACTTTCTTTGAACCCGAAAATCTTAGATTCAGTTTACTTTATTAAACACATTGTACAAGTAGAGGACAATTGGTCTCGTAATCCTCTTAATAAATTGGGTGAACTAAACACCACAAGGTTGAAAAAAGATGTAGTTGCTACTAACGTGACCAATAGCTGCTAAAGTATCTATACAGAAAGCGTTTTAGATTTTTGCTACTTCAATGCTTTCGAAGAGTCCCGCGTTTTCTCCTGTTACATATCCCTGGATCTGAAATACTTTTTTTCCCTTTAAGGAAAATTGAGGCAAACGATAGCAGTCTCTTGATAACATTAATTGATAGCAATCTATTGTCAAATCCTGTTCTGGTTTTTCTACCATTTTCCTTCATATATGTCTCTGGTTATTCTTAGTGATTTGCTTCTTGCAACTCAAACATTGCTGTTATATGTTTTCTTCCCCCTCTCCCTCCTTCAAAAAAAAAAAAAAAACCTCTGCATACTTGCTGTTGTATGTTTCTCGCCTCGAGTGTTGTACTTCAGCCTTTTGGTTAGTATTGCTCATCTTGGTTCTTTCTGTGAACAGGGGACTATGGTTTCAGCTGTCATTTATGGAAACGACATTCGTTATTTTGCTAATCTGCTGCAACCATTCAAGCGATACTATATCACTGGTGGGACTGTCAAAAAACAGGATGCAAAGTATAAAGTTAGTGACTATCAGTTCTCATGGGTGCTTCATAACAAGACATTAGTTGAAGAGTATGTTGAGCCAAATCCACCAATGCTACCATGCACTTTTGAATTCACCAAATTTGAAGACCTTTTTAGATTTGCAGACACGGAGAACGTTCAGAGTAAGTTATATCTATGCTTTACTGTTTGAAATATAAATTCACTTTCATATTTCCTTTAGCTATTGAAACACAGCTAACCTCTTCTCTTTTGGTTTGTACTAAGATTTACAAGCTGTTGTTGTCACTGCATTTGCGACAAAGGAACAGAATAACGGGTGTACAACAAGAGACTTCATTGTTGTGAATAAAGAGTAAGTTATATAGACCTTACTTTTAATATTCCTATTCAATGCATAAAACTGTTCCATTCACATTTTTCCCCATTTTTCCTCTTCTTTGTAAAGGAAAAAGCCAATGCTTCTTACTCTTTGGAATGAGTTCGAACAAAATCAGGGAACACAGCTTGCAAACAGTATTGGGAATGCCAACGTTATCATTGGCATGAAGCTGAAAATCACAACTTTTAATTGTAAGTGAAGTTAATATACTTTTAACAGCTTATACTTCAATGATAGTCATCCAGTTAGAATAACTCAGCCTATCACTGTCTTTTAAATTGCTCTATTACTTAATGATAACTATTACTTTTATTATCAGACTTATCTCTGACAACCAAGCCTGGGAGTGGCCTTCTGATTAATCCTCCCTCTTCTGAAGCAAATGCACTCAAAGAATGGTACGCATATTCTTTGATCATTTTAGTTAAACTTTTCTAGATCCTTTTGATAAATTATAGTCTCTGTTGCATTAATTTCTTGGATAGGTATAATGCAAATAAAGAAGAAATTGCAGAATTGATACAACAAATGGCATACAAAGATTCATCTAAGCTGCTGCCACCTCCAAGTGCTGACGACATAATCAGTGTAGCCAATGCATTTAACACACTCAAAGATGTAACTTCCTTTTTGATTTATAACCTGATCTATATCTTTTAGCCATCCAAATTAATGCAAAACTCAGATACTCTTCTTTCTGTTCACAAAAACATCTATTAGATGAAAACAGCTTGGATAACAGGAAAAATCAGTTTGTCCCCTGGACAACAAAAATTCTGGTTTGAAGCATGTGAGAACTGCCAAAAGGCTATCAATGTTGACGTAGGATGGGTTATGAGATGCCCATCTTGCAAAGAAGAGAGCAAAGTTGTAGCAAGGTAATTACCGAATTAAGTTTCCCTCTCTTTTAATGAATTAGAATATAATATTTTGTTTCCAATGTGTAATAGGACCCGAGTTGGAATTGCTGTTGATGATGGTACGGGCTCCATAAATACTGTTATCTTTGGCCCTGATGCTGAAAAGCTTATCCCATTTACAGCACTTCAACTCTGGGAAGCTCATACTGAGGTGAGCTAACAATCTTGGCAAAAAAAAAACTGCTACAAGTTTAGCTCTTGCATGATAATACAACTACCAACTTAATGCATCTTGCTTAATGTGCTTCATGTGCGATGAGCTTCATGTGCCTATATATCTGCTGCCAATTATAATTTCCTATATTTCTGCTGACTTTTCCTATACCATGTGGGCTATATTTCTGCTCGAATGGCCAGTTTCATCTTTGTTTTCCATTTTTTGGTTCTTTTTGTGTGTGATGCTCAGCCAGTTCGTTTGCCTGCTAATTTGAACTCTCATGCTTGTACCCTTTTCTATTAGTTACTGAAGCCACAAACTGTCAAATTCTTACTGTTGTGTGAGCCTAATTTATTAGGAATTTAGTTGTAAGAAACCCATAAAGCAAAAGAAGGAGTGGTGATATTCAGGAAAAAACAGTGATAGCTGTCAATGTGTCCATTTTCCTAGATAACGTTCTGAGATTTGAATCCAATTGAGCTATCCTATAAATGAGATATCAAATTACCTCTTCCAGCCCCTTCTTTGCCAGATTTGATAAGTTTTAGGTAAATAAGTAAATAGAATTTTTTTGCACAATTGCAACTGTATATTTAATACTATTAGAGTTTGTGCACGATTGGACAATTAGATAATTGGCCATTCTTCGCATTACAGATCCAATCTCAATCGAATTGGAACTGCATGTCCATAATGAGTCAAATAGTTCTGCCTTCTTTTCACCAAGTCACTTTCCGTTGATACAACAACTGGAACATCTCTCCTTCAAAATGTGCTTTTGTTGGTCTATATTAATGGGCCAAATGAACGCAAAAGATTTCGGCCTTTTTAGGCCTTTACCCGAATAGAAAAAA